CGGTGCCTCTGAAGGGCCCTGGTCGAAGCACTGGGTCACGGTCACCATGCCAACCCAATGGGAGTAGGTCACGCATGCGATGGCTGCTGTCCATTTTGGCACTTTGCTGCGCTGATAGAAGTTCTGCTGGGTGTGCCAGCCCATATGAGACGCTTACCAGACCGTCTATAAACATTTCTGGTTGGGGACTCGGTGTTGATTCTGGTTGTGATCGTCATCCTGTCTGCGACGTTAAATCATTCCTGAGGAGATGGGGGCTCTCCTTAAATCCCTCCTGATCAGCCAGATCAACCCGGGCAGTAAGGCTCGTTTCGTACGAGGGTAAATAAGAGTGGATGGGCTGGCTTGCTCGGCAATGACTTGGGCGCAAGGGTGGGCCGACAATACACGAAGACACCGCTGCTCATTGATGCTATTCGGTATGTTGGATTGAGGGGAGGGTATGTTGGATTGAGGGGAGGGTAGGTTCTAATTGATGCTCAACTGGAAACACAACCATACCCACTGTTCATACATCTGTAACATAGTCTTGTTTTATTATTGATTAGTTGGTTGACAGACTGCTAACACCTCACAGACAGATTAGAGTAGGGCTGTTGTATACTACCATAGCCAGTTATATCTAATGCTGCTGTAAGTGAACTAATCAACGATAGGATTAGATTATGTGTACAGTCTATGTGAATATTGTTTGACGATCGCTTGTCAGTGGTGAAGTAACCTGCCGGACTCCTATTTTATTTTTAGAAAATTTAGAGCCGGTCAGACACAAGCTGTGGCAGGACTCCAGTAGGGAGTTGTGGTGCAGATACTGTTTGCATAGCTGTTGAGTGGGTCAGACAGCGATGAGGGTAGAGTTGATGATGAGAGACTCACGGTCGGAACTAAAGAGAGTTTCGTTCGTGTAATAGATCCTAGGTACCGGAGTTGAGCAACGGCTTAAGGCCGGAGCAAGAGTCGGTGCACGAGCAGCGGCCGAGAGAACAGCAAGAGAAGTTGCACAGCTGGTAGCAGCAGCTAACATAGCACCTAGACAGGCCGCCTCAGCTGCAATGGCTACCACAGCAGCATCCAATGCTGCCCTCTCGTCTGGGACCTCGTCTGGGACACAGTTGGGAATGCTCACCTGGTCCCCGGGCATCTCTAGTACCGTAGTTTCTATTGTCTCCACCAGCCAAATGGCGGACTCACAGTTAAGCCCGTTGACCCCACGCCAGCGGGACTTGAGGGAACTCCAGCAAGTCGAAAGGATCCGTGCACGGCTAGTGAGGGAACTTCAGGAAGCCACAGAGAGAAAGAGAGATAGGATAGTCAGGTTGGAAGAAGTAGAGGCCGACAAAACTGTGTTAGAGGCAACGGATGAGGCAACGTTGTTTGACCCAATGAAGGTGTTGACGTCTAGTTTGTTCTCACTACACGCACGCGTAGTCAGCAGAATGGACTTCATGCAAGACACCTTGGATTAGACATTGACTCAGTTGCAGCAGCTAAGCTCTAGGCTGCTCGCAGTTTATAGATCGCCACTCCCTAAGATGGCAGTGATAGGCATCTATCCCCAAGCTGGCACACAACCAAGCGGTTCGTCGGCAGCAGCAGCACAGACTGTAGCTTCT